ATTTTTGTGTTTGATTATGAGAAGTTATGATCGATTGCTTAGTCGTTTAGTCACTACGACAATTAATCGGACCACCACCAGTGGCAATGGTGTGATGTTATGTCGTAGCTAGGTCAGAGTTTGATCACATCGGGACCCAGAAATGTGCAAATTGCAGGGGAATGTTAAAGAAATGTTTTGTCAGGCTGTCAGATAGATTGCTCCTCATCTACGACTGGCATCTAAATCACTCCTTGCTTTCCTCCCATCACAAGTTGCCACTAGACATAGCTGATGTACTGTTCAAGAATACTCTTGTGGAAACCCTGATGAATAAAGAAATTAAATATGAAACAGTGTAAGAATTGTTGTTTGCAATTTCATAAATTTGATCTCTTGAATCTGAATGTATGAATGTCAGTGACAAATGCCTGTTACCATAATCTTGCCGTTAAGTGCTTACATGTAGGTGTGTATGTTATGTGGGAAACACACACCTTTGGAACAAGAACAAAATGAGCACTATTCTTATTTTACTTTTTTACCTTTGTCAATTTTATAGAGTTGGTTGATTCACATTCTACCTACCAGGTATTCAGTGTTATTTGATTTTCAAAATTTGGTTTTTCAGAAGGGGGTGAGGATGAGGAAGAAGAGGGTGTGGATGAGGAAGAAGATGAAGAGACTGAGGAAGAGCCTGCTGAGGAGGAAGAGCCTGCTGAGGAGATTGAGGAGGAAGAGACTCCTGACCCCAGAGATGAATTGTGATGTCAATCATGTTAGGTTTAAGTATGACATTAAATATATGTATATGCATTTTCTGGAGAAAAATCATGGGACCACCTCATACAACTTCACACTGTAAAATTGGGGAGATTGATTGCTGACAATAAAAAATGAGAAAACTTTTTGAGGATTGTTGTGATTGAGAAGACAACTGGCATTGATTGCTTGGCCCATTTACTCTGACACAGAGGCAAGAATATTCCCCCCAAAAGATGTTCAGTGTTATCTCTGGGGATCAGTTTTTGTTTTCTATAAAAGTAGAGCTGTTTATTCACTGCTCTATTACACTGCATTAACAGCAATAACGTAAAACCAAAAATTCTCATCATTGATAATGCAGTTTGATTTTTACAAGCCACAACTTTTACTACAGATTTTCATCATTCCAATTTGGGAGTTTTTACCAATATTTCTTGCAAACTGGGGTTATGTATCAGCCTTTAAGAAGTTGAAGGTAAACCTGAATTTTCAGATTAAAATGCAGGACATAACACCCTCAAAACTTTAACCAGACTGAGTTAACAGCAGATATCATTAATCCTCTTACTGCTCATTCAGCTATTTCGACTCAGTGCATCATTAACATTGCCTGCAGTGTCTATCCCAACTGTGACAATGGACATGATTAAAGGTACACCTGATAATGGAGAATATATCATCTGGCAGAAAAACAAGATGTTTACTGTTCAGGATACTCTGCCAGCCATTTAAGTATGTTGACTTTTTTATAAGGTTTGGCTGAGGGTACCACTTGTTAATTAGTCTGAGAAATATTTGCTGATTTGTTTCTGAGGGCCCAAAGACTCAGAATATCAACATGGCCTGAAGCTGAAAAAAATTACTTGCCTAAATATACGTAGAGAAACAAATTTTCCAGTTTTCATCACCACAGCGCTATTCAAAGCTGGTGATGAAAATTAGAAAATAATATAGGGACACTTGAATTTTCCTGTGTTCCTTTATTTGTTTCTCTTCGTACACTATACACTTGCTCTGAATAGTTTCCTGATTTTTCATGTTTCCATGTGTACGAGAAATGAACTGAAAGCAAATATAACCAAAACTTGTCTACTGAAGCGACATCAATGGCACATCTAACAAGAAGACAAAGTCATCAATATCCCCCTCAATTGCAAAATACTCTTCATGATTATGTCTACGAGTTATGATTATGTCAAATATTTAGGTGTGTATATAGAAAAGTGGAAGGAGAGTATTGAAAGGTTTTTAAAGTTCTGCTCCGGAAAAGAGCACTACCACCTATTTCAGGCTAAGTCAAACTTGTTGCCACGGAAAAGCCAAAAATAGTTTATTCGGAATTCCAAAACTACCAAAAGGCACCAGTACACCACCAGATCTATCTATGTGCCAAGTTTGGTTAAGAAATAGTGAACGGTTTTAGAGTTCAGCTCCGGAAAAGAGCACTACCACTAATTTCAGTCTAAGTCGAACTTGTTGCCATGGAAATGCCAAAAATATTTTATTCAGAATTCCAAAACTACCAAAAGGCACCAGTACACCACCAGACCAATCTATGTACCAAGTTTGGTAAAGAAATAATGAACGGTTTTAAGAGTTCAGCTCCGGAAAAGTGTACTACCACCAATTTCAGGCTAAGTCAAAACTTGTTGCCATGGAAACGCCAAAAATGTTTTATTCAGAATTCCAAAACTACCAAAAGGCACCAGTACACCACCAGATCTATCTATGTGCCAAGTTTGGTTAAGAAATATTGAACGGTTTTAGAGTTCTGCTCCGGAAAAGATAAATGTGCACGGACGGACAGACGCACGGACGGAGTCCATTTTAATACCCCCAGCAAAACGCGTTGCGGGGGATAAAAACAGGCAAACATTGTCTAAGTCATTTGTACAGTAGGTGTGTCTGTTCTGTGGTGTTGGTTCCATTGTACACAACACCCTTAACTGTCATAAGTCTATGTTATACGGGTTATGATCACCTTAGTGCTAACATTGCTTTTGTACAACTGCACCATGGAGTATAGACATTCCCTAATCTTGACACTTCTATTTGATGGCATGGTTTTGGTGTGTGAGTAACGTACCGGGTAATACCTGTAACTTGTATCTAAATAGGCACATAACTAGTTTATCTAAATTTGTAGAAGGTGCACCAAAGAAAATCTTGAAATAGTGAATTATTCCCTTGAGGTTATAGTTAATGTCAGAGTCACAGTGAAAATCTCTGATCAGTGAAAAACCCCTTCTTGATGTTCACTTCAGTGAGATCCGTCTAAAGATGCTTCTTGCAATATTTCAGCTAAATTCACCATGGACCAAAGTACCAGCAATGCAAATTGACATCTTTACACAATAAGTATTTAGTCCACTGGACATGTATTCATATCTGTATGAAAGTGAATTGGTTTTACTCATTTGTACAGTATTTTGGAACTGTATTGGCATTTCAGATTTATGTATGAAGTGTCTAGCGGGGTCTGGATATTTACCTAGTCAGTGAAACTAGAACAAGTGAAGACCTGACAAGCCAAGAATCACCAGTTTCTGGTTAACCAAGGGAGACAACTGCATATTACACTGCAGGGATTCCAATCTATTAAATCCCAGTGAGAGTTGGCCACCCTTCCACAGGTCACCAGCAGGTTATAATCCAAGTGTGAAATGACAAAAACCATAATTCCTTCAGCTAGTATGTTGAAGATCATAAGAAGACCTGAAAACAAAATACATAGAACATCAAACACATAGAAACCGTATACAAACAAGAAGACATGGTCATCAATATCCCCCGCCCCACGGTTCCTGTTTTTCAACTCCACCATGATTTTCATGCTCTGAAAACACATACCACATTTGGTTTCCCTCCTATAATGGTTACTGAGAAATAGTGGTGGTCCGAATAATTGAAATAATTGAAGATTAGACGCAGTGACTAAACGACCAAGCAATCGACTTGTTTTCTAATAATCAAACGCAACCAATCTTGGAACACTTGTTTGCATCAACAAGATTTTTCACAAGGTTGGTTTTCTGTGTCATTAGTGTGTACATTTCATAAGCACTACAAGCTCGTTCCAAGTCATGATTGAATTTATCTTAAAGAATCCAGGAAATCTGTGTTCCTAACATACTAAACTTTCTTTAAATATGCGAAATTTGCAAATGGATTTTGTGCAATTTAGAAAAACCCTAATTACTACGTTTTTTTCTTTCTTTTTGTGTGCATTAACAAACATTTAACAGGAACATTTGATAAATGACGCTAACCAATTATTTTCGATGATTGATTGGTTGTAATGGACCAATCATCAATTATGAGATTTTAACAAATTCCCAACACTACTGAGAAAATACATTCGCATTGCGGATAACGTGCGTTAAGTCAAGAAATGCATGACAAGGAACGTAACTCTATAAAAAATCGTAACACAGTTTCCATTTTTGAGCTCCAAGGCATTTGTGTCCAGAAAACATATACCACATCTTGTGTCCCTCCTATAACGGTTTCTGAGAAAATCTGTCTCCATTGGGGATAGCATGCACTAAGTCAAGAAACGTATGACAAGGGCCATAACTCTGCAACAAATTGTAATACAGTTTCCTATTTCCAACTCTAAGGCATTCATGTCCTCAAAACACATACCAAATTTGGTTTCCCTCTATAACGGTTTCTCACATCACTATTGACTTATTCTATTTGAATGACCAGTATCTGTTGTTCTATTCAGGCAGGTCAAGTTTGTTGTTTAACGCCGCACTCAGCAATATTCCAGCTGTATGGTGGGGGTCTGTAGATAATCGAGTCAGAACCAGACAATCCAATGATTAACGGCCAGGCAGATTAAGTAGAAATTATCTCAAATGTTTAACTTTTCTTCTCACCTCCTACACTGAAATTAAGGCTTAACATTTTGTAAAACCAACAAATAAATATAAAAGGCCATGCAAATAAATAGCACAACATCTTAACTAATATCACTCCAGGTACGGATCAATGATCATCATGGTCATCACAAGGACTGACTGACTGAGTTTAGTTTTCGCCGCTTTTAGCAATATTCCAGCAATATCACGGTGGGGGACACCAGAAATGGGCTTAACACATTGTGCCCATGTGGGGAATCGAACCCGGGTCTTCGGCGTGATGAGCCAACGCTTTAACCACTAGGCTACCCCACCGCCCCTCATCACAAGGAATAATTTAAATGGCAAATAGTCCCTGGGACCACAAGCAACCATTACATAAACTACCACTGAGTTCATCATAGCTTTATTTCTGATAATTTGACAAATGTGTCTTCATGAATCATAAATAGGCATGACAATGAAGCCATGAAATGAAGATGTAAAATCAGTGACATTTTCACTCCTTGAGCAAGGCACAACTATCATTTCCTAGGTTGTAATAAACAGCTGTACATGAAATTAAAACAACTACATCAGTATTTGACAATGAGAACAAAATACCATCGGACAATGGATTGACTTACGACTTACATAAAATGTACATACAGATGACATGAAGGTATGAATAATTTTTTGGACCTGAGATTGGTATTTTTACAATTCATGGATTTAATTCAGCACTGATATTTTCCCCGATATATATATAATGCACCATGACTACATCAGTCCTGATCCATCGGTTCTTCTTTCTGCGAGTCTGAGTCTGTGTCTGTCTGTGTGTCTTGTTGCACTTCCTTTGATTGCTGCTGTTCTGATGGGTTGTCTGTCTGTTCTGAAGTCCGACAATTCTCAGAATCTGTGTCCATATTCTGCTCCGAAGAGTCCACTGGGTCCGATTTTTCACAAGAGCTTGGTGAGGACGATGCACATTCTTCCTCTGGTGGATGTTCCGCGCACATGGAGTCAGAAACAGCATCTGTGGAACTGGCTGGCTCACTGCTGCCACAGTCTTCAGTCTGTTTGGTAACAGATTCACACAGCCGATTGGTGGGGTCCTCGGAGGAGGATGCCACGCCTTCCTCACACACTGGGCCAGTTGGGGATGCAGATATGTGTTGGTTCTCCAGTGAATCAGGTGGATGTTCTTGTGATGATGAAACCTGTTCTCCATTTCCTGTTGGTGATGGAGCTGACTCTGGGGCACCTGGAAGAAATCATTGAAAATGTCTAGAATCAGGAATGAACTGGACATCAGGGAAAACAATTTCACAAAGGAGAAGGGTGACACATTAATGCATAGATTACTAACAGAACGACTTCAGTGTGTGTCGTGTGTGTAACTTAAAACCTTTCACATCACAATAGATTTCAAGAGATTTTTGTTGATAACAAATTTTTCACATTGATACAGGGTTCAGACACAAAATCTGTCACCCTTTTTAGGGTTATTTCAAGGCCCAATCAACCATTTTAAGGCCCTGTAGAAACGCATGTCATGTAACATATTATGTTACATAAAAGAAGTACAACACATGGTTGGTCAAATGTGGGGCCAACCATAAAAGAGAAGTCACCTTTAGCTACATCACTGCACTGGGAAAGTTTTGCTTCGTGATAGATATTTATTACCACACATTGTCATTGCAAAGTATGTTTGATGCATTAGTTTCCTGTAACTCGACAAGTTTGGCAAAAGTTAAGGCCTTTTCAAGGCAAACAACTGGTAAATTCTTGCCTTTTCAAGGTTTAAATGAATTTATGGTCGTTTTAGGGTAAATTTCAATCTATTTCAAGAAGGATCTGTTGATCAAGAGACAATCAAAAGTGACAACAGTGTGAAGGTCTGAACATTCAGAAGTGCACAACCAAAGCATAAATTCCGTTTCAGATTAAACAATTTGATTCTCAGCAAACTAATATCTGGAATAACCTTGTTGAGTTTCAGTTTGGAAATCATCTTGAAACAAATTTCTAAATCAGCTTCTTACCATTATCCGGAGTCTGTTCTGGAGTGGATTCAGGAGATTGTGATGGATCTTTCTTGATGTCGGAGTCTTCAGCCTTTACTGGCTCCTCCTCGGCTGCTTCACTCTCCGACACTGCCGCTTCACTGTCAGACATGGCTACTTCACTTTCCAACACTGGGGCTTCCGACACTGCTGTCCCACTCTCAGAAACTGCTGCCTCACTGTCCGACACTCCTGTTTTCGTCTCGGACTCTGCTTCATTCTCGGACACTGCTTCATTCTCTGACACAGCTTCACTCTCCAACGCTGCTGCCTCATTACCAGACACTGCTGCCTCGTTCCCAGACACAGGTGGACTATCCCCATTCTCTGGCATCTCAGCTGGAGTAGCCTCCCCTGATTCAGCTGCCATAGACTCAGAATCAGATTTTGCTGATCCGTCTGTTTTAATTGTGTCCATAGATGCTGCCTCGGAATCATTATCCTCTTGAGATGATTCATCAGGCTGTGATTGTGAAGGGGGGGAATACTTTTCTGCTAATGGTGCTTCTGGCTCCATGTGATCTTGGTCTACCTCTGACAAGTCCTCTTGTTCAATAGGACTAGTTGCTGATTCCTCAGAGTCAGACTTTGACTTGGGCCACACTGTTGCCAGCCCCTGGCTGTTGAGGGGCCAGGATGGGACTGGAGGGGGTGGGAGAGAGTTGCCTGTCTGCGTGCAGCCATTGCTGTCAAGACCATTCACCAGAGTCCGGGATTCCGACACAACTTTCCTATAAAAACAAATACAAACGTTATGGCACAGGTCTGCCAAAAACCTAGTCTTGTAAAATATCTATCATGTTAACTAAGCTGATTATAGGCTATAACAGGCCGGTCTTATTCTACTAGATGGAAGACACGACCAGACTAGCAGCATTCTGTAGAAGATGAAAGAAAAAACAATATAGTCAATAACAAAACCAACTTAAAGGTTAATTCTTTGTCATATCCAAATGACCCATTCAATCAAGACCCAAAGACTCTCAGAGGCCCAGATAAGCTGCGTATCCGGGTAAAATATGCATAGAAAATTTCCAATTACGCATTGAAAAAAAATTCTTGCGTACCAATTACACATTGAAAATGTTAGATACGCAAAAGGTTTAAAACAAATGCGTACGGAATATATTTATAAAAATCTCTTGCGTTATGAAAAAGACATCGATTGCTATCAAGTTGTACTGTTAGTACAGGACAAGTGTTGTACTGTCAGTATAGGATGAGTGATTTTTTTATAAAATCATTTCCATTATATTTAAGTTGGTTTTGATGAGGTATGACATAAGGCAGGACATACCTGCTTAGTAAACTTACTCAATGACATAATACTTAGGCGAGTAAAATGACTGAAATACGCACATATTTGAAAGCAGTGGGTAACGGAAAATGAAATACCAACTCAACATTCATAATACCCACTCCAAAAAAATATAGTGGGTACAGTACCCACATGAGCTAAATCTTATCTGGAGCTCTGACTCTGACGAAGTACATTAAAAATCACATAAGCCTGCTGATCAACAACTTTAATGGATTTGAAAAAAATATATGTTAATGCCAACTTGACAGCTGAAACACTTGACTGAAACTGTTGTTTACAAACCAGAAGTCAATTTTGTTTAGCAATTTTTGTTTGGACTATGCATAAAATATGATAGGCTAGATAAAACATAACTTTGAAATTCGTCTGTCAAATCCCTTGATTGAAACTATCTACACCACCAGCATGTAATGTTAAAGTGACAAGAATTGCCCTTACCTTCCAAATGGGTCAACAGTGCTTACAACCAGCACATTCTGAAACCAATCAAACAAGGTCAGTTTGTGACATACTGATGATCGATAATAATCAATGATTGATCAGTTATTTTTACATGGATATTTAACGGCTTGCAGTACCCAAATAATAAAAGAAAATGAAAACTAAGTTTTATATCATCAAAACATATCCAAAACATACTCTAGTGTGTAATTATAAAATCTGATTGATAGATGATAAATGTTCCACACGTTTTCATAACAGGTTTATGAAAAATTTGTATTCGAACAGGTATTGGACACAAGACAAATGAAATTTAACCTAATATTAATGAAACTGTTGCATGTACCGGTCAAACGATTGACGGAATAAGCTGATGACCCAAATATATGTATTCACCTTTTCAATGCCTCTTAAAAACTTGTCACTTCTCTTATAATGTCTCTTGGGATCAGTGATCAACTCACACAACCTCTGAATTGTGAAAGGAGCCCTGAAAATATACAAGGAAACCATAAAACCTGCTGCAAAGGTACACATAATAATTCATTCTGACAGTAACCATGGCAACAGAGTAATCTGGTGATGTCAGTGCTACCACCCATTAGGAGAACTGTGCAGTTAATTTCAGATATCTGAATGTTATAATGATTTGTAACACATGAGCATTAAGAGATTGAAGCATTTCCTCATGGAAAACAATGTCACGACATCATCCACTGTTTATGACATCACTGTCTGACAACATTCAATCATCTTTCAAGTAAATTTCCTCCGAAGATTTGAAAATATTTTCATCATTTTCTTTCTCAAACTTACAATGACCAATGTTCAGAAAAGGCAACTCAAAGTTCAGAATTTAAGGATTAGATGTCACTCTTTTAAAGGAATGGTAATAATTCACACACTCCCAGAAGCATGTTGGCAATTCCACAAATATTCTACCCATAATCTGATATTATTCTATGATTCTACTCAGTTTGTATTTGAACACCACCCCCAGCAACACTCCAGCCATAACACAGCCTTCATTAAATATCATGAGGTCTGGACCAGAAAATCCAATGATTGACATTATGAGCATCCTGATACACAATTGGGACACAATGCCATGCATCCAGTAAGTGAGAGCACGACCACACAATTCCATAAGTCGCACCTTACAACAGGCATAGATTGTTGAAGACTAAATTCGCCTGAAGCAATATTACTACAGCAAAACATTGCTGTTATTGGTATCACAAAATATATGAATTGCCTGTACCCTACCAACAACTCAGGGGTGGAAATAACCCATTGCCTGACACCCGAGTCCAGTGTTTTTTTTCTGTCGGGCAAGCAAATTTGTATATCACACTGTACCGGTGTCCAGTTGATATTCCAATGTTAATTATGTTGTTTATTTAAAAAATCAACAAGGAAACGGACGGTATAAGTGGAAAAATTATCAGGGCAAGTGATTTTACATGTGCCACTGTACCGGAGTACACTAGCAATTTTAAAGTTATTTCCACCCCTGCAACTTCAGATTGGGACATGTCTCTAGACTAGCACCACCTTCCATATCAATAGACCTGCTTTTTCCAATATTAGTACATCACTGAACATTTGCATTTTGCATTTGCTAATAGTTTAGCTACAAAACAACAGGATACGTGTGAAATATTATTTGTATGTATCAACTTTGGGGACTTGTCAGGACAGGAAATTCAGTTTTCTTACTGCCTTCATTTAGTTAATAAATCTAACTCACCATATACAAAAGTTGATGCCCCTGTTTCATGTAAATACATGTATTCACCTGTTTGAATCCTTGAGTGGATTCCAGCTAAGTACAGGTCCCTAGCAATCTAATCATGCAAATCATTAGAAGCGACCAAATGGATCACATGGTTCATCATTGTTGCCAGCTTCTCATCACAGCAAAGATTTAATTGTTGCTTGTAATATCAATCACTGGTTTTTCTGGTCCATACTTTATTTTTCAATGTCAGCAACAATATGACATGAATACTGTGTGTTAAAGTTACACAACAAACAAAACAAACTCATGATCAGGTTGATGACTCACCCATGAAACCTCTCCACAGCTTTAATGATCCGTTCCCTCATGTCATCAAACTTGACCTGCTCCATGTTGGTGTTGGGAGGGAAGTGGTCGACCGGGATCTCCTGGTGAAACTCGGTCATCACCTGGTCCAGCTTGCTCACCAGTAGTGGCCTGAGTCGGGGCCAAGGGAACCTGTAGTTCACAACAACAACTCAGTCAAGGTACTCAGCAGGCTGCCATCAGGACGTGATGGGGCATAGCCTGATGCATCTGAATATCACAACACTGAACTCTGTTTTGTTACAGTGAGTGAGCGAGTTTAGTTTTACGCCGCACTCAGCAATATTCCAGCTATATGGCGGCAGTCTGTAAATAATCGAAGTCTGGACCAAACAATCCAGTGATCAAAAGCATGAGCATCGATCTGGGCAATTGGGAATCGATGATGTGTCAACCAAGTCAGCGAGCCTGACCACCCGATCTCGTTAGTCGCCTCTTACAAGCAAGGGCTACTGAAGGTTCATTCTAACCCGGACCTTCACGGGTTGTTTTGCTACATGTACATAAGACCACTACACAATAAAATAGGGCTGGCTACAAACATCAACACTGGAAAAAAATAATTATTAATGATTATAGATATGAAAATTGTCATTGGTTGTATATGTATATATATGACAATGTACATTAACTAATGATGATATAAACTTTAAACTGACACACACAATACAAAGTTGCATCTTTAAAAATGCAGGGTTCTTTCTAAGAAACCCATGCAGAAATGAGTCCCCATTCACCAATGACATGAAATATGTTGTTCCTTCCTGATATTTTAAAGTTTTGCCTCAAGGCTATGTCTCTAATAATAATATTTACCAATAAACAATCAATATTTAGTTGATGGTTATCTATCTGTGAATATTTCGATATCAAGCCCATGAGTATCTTGAGGGACATCTTGGTGTTTTCATACAAAGTTCCTTTACACACTTGTAATGCACGTCAGTGTTCAAAATATAAGCACAAAGTTCAACACGCCCTTGTTAGGGACCTTATATTGAATAAAAACAAGATATATTGGTCCACATTTCAAAGATATGAATGACCTCACAGTTACATTAATCATTAATTTAAAACTGCATGTGCACAAAATATTTCACTGCAGATAAATAACTAACTAAAATGAAAAGTGTAATTTATTCACCAAGTGGCATTAAACATTTTGTGAATATTTTGTATATGACTTTCAAAATTTTGACGTATTATTTCACACCAAAAAGCAGGATGCAATTTAAAGCAAAATTGTAACAATGTTCAAAGACATGAAGCGTGGCTAAACATATAATAATCCCAAAATCCATTAGCAGATTACATTAGCAGTAACCAAGATAAGTCACACTATCCTACATTGAACATGACTTAGTTCTTCAGATATGGTCGTTTTTAACAATTATTACCATAACAACACAAATGCAAGTTCTGAAACATAAATCACATCAGATTATTTACGCAGCAGGCAATCAGGAAATCAAACAGATATCCACAAGTAACATCCCTGTTAGACAAAATTCTGAATTCTGATGTTATTTCCTTGTTTATGATGATGCTCAATCAACACCTGCCACCATGAAGAGTGAGATGAACAAAGGCTCTATGTATATATGCAAATGAAAATGAACTTATACATGTAAATAAATACAATGATTCTGAGTTGTACTGCTGTATTCAGAGCATTACATTATATTATCAAATATGTATGTATATACATATATCATATGGATCTGTTAACTGCTGCTGTAGCTAAAGTATGTGTCAATAGGGCTAGCTAACAATGTAGATCCATCACCATTATCTAAATAATGATCAATTATCGATAAATTTTGGAAAAACTAATATATTACAAGGTGAGGTGAAATTGGGTTTAACGTCATGCTTGAGAATATTTCGCTCATATGACGACGTGCATGCGTGTGTATGTGCGGCTGCTTGTACTAGCCCAGACTTAAGCTGGTTTTATAGTGCTAGCCCACTGAGATACCATGCCGCAGTGAAGCATGAATACCCCACTCAGACACATTATACTGACTCCGAGCCGACCAGTCCTTGTTGTACCCATTAATGCTGAGCGCCAGGCAGGGACCAACAAGTACCATGTTTTAACGCCTTTTGGTATGACGCGGTCGGGGATCGAACCCGTGACCTTCCGCTCTCCGGGTGGACGCTCTAACCACTACACCATGGGGCGGTCAATTATATTACAAAGACATAAAATAAGCAACAATTTCATTTCACTGGTAGGCAGTAACACATTTATGCATGGAATAGTAACAATAACACCATTCTGAACATAGCTAAGAAGCAGTCCATGAATAAAGATGAAGCTTTATGCATTGTGTATTGTGAAAATTAACATTTTCTGACAATAGTTTAGTCTTAGATAAAAGTGTTGAAACAGTCTTCATATTCTTAATAATTAAAAATTCTTCCCATAAACAATATTTCCAATTACCCCTTGTTTTGCCTGCTCTTATTATCAAGTCACATTACTAGAATATCATTACTTTGTAAATCATTAATACATGACTGTGTATGGCAATGAATCAGCATGTGTAGAAAGCTACTGGTTTGCAGATCACATTGTCAAAATCCACTTTACAGTTAGTGAGTGAGTGAGTATGGTTTTAAGTCGCTTGAGGCAATATTCCAGCAAACAGCATGCAGCGTGGAAATAACCTATTGCCCGGCGTCCTAGTCCAGTACTTTTCTCCGTTGGGCAAGCAAATTTGTATATCACCTTGTACGGGGTCTAGTTGACTTTCCAATGTTAATTATATGTTTCTTATTTAAGAAATAAACAAGAAAATCTGCCAGTTTAGTGGACAAATTATCAGGACAAGCAATTTTACATGTGCCACTGTACCGGAGTACAATTTTAAAGTTATTTCCACCCCTGAGCATGGCAGGGAAAACAAGAAATGGGCTTCACACATTGTACCCATGTGGGGAATTAAACCTGGGCCTGCGGCGTGACGAGTGAACACTTTAACCATTAGGCTACCCCATCATGACTGGGGAGACCAGAAATGGACTTCACACATTGTACACATGAAGGGAATTGAACACGGGTCTTTGGTGTGACGAAAGTGAACACTTTAACTACTAGGCTTCCCCACCGCTCCAGTTAGTAGCATGATGGGTATCTGAATGACAGCTTAACATGTTTCACTAGATTTACTTTGTTCTTTGCTTGGATATATCTGTGGCTCAATTCATGAATCATACAATCAACAGCCATCATGTGTATTTTTTAACTCTTGCCAATGAAACTATGTATCCACTATCATTTTAAGTTCATTTAAATCACAAGATTTACAGGAAAATATTTTGTCTATATCTTTCAGTCAATCCCAAAATAGGATAACATGTTGGCTGATACCTAGTATATCCACACAATTTTGATTAAAATACAGCGAGTAAGATATCCATAGCAAAGCACACCAACCACTTCCGTTATATCTTTACAATCAGCCATGTCATTTGACGAAACGTCTGCTAGGTCTGAATCTTATAAAAAATAATGATGGTGGACCACACACCGCTTAAGTCGGTTTATAAACTGAAGATCACTTTTACCATGCCATAAATTACTGATTGTGTAAATACTGTGGTTACATCTAACAAGGCCAGATTATTTATGACCATTGTTCAATGATCACTTTAACCTCAGTCAACTGCACTATCCAAGACAAATATTAGATTTGTTGATCTAGCAATGGTTGAATAAGACCTAATTATTAGTATGTTTTCAGTCATTGTGGTTGGTACAACATATCAATGAGGTGAGAAATGTGTGTCAGGGTCTTACTTTTACCCAACACATTAATGTTGGTCCAGTACACACAAATGTAGACAATAGGATTATTTTCATTGGTCCAAGCCACTCGGACTACTGTAAAACAAGGTGAAACCCTGGGGTGTGCATGTGAATCATGTATAATATTTAAAATGAGGCTTAAGACAGCAATACAACTTTGTCAGCATGTGAATCTTGAAGCTCAAAATATGTGTACAAATTTATACAAGGACCAAAGATAAGGTTTCAGATTAGCAAGATTGAAAGATTTGAGATTGAGGGAATCTACTGCATGACCACTGAATATTGAAACAGAAAGTCCTTTGGACAAATGTTTGACAATACCTTTTCAAAGGTTTCATTTTTTCACTCTCTTATTTATGTATACAGCCAAGAGTACAAAGCTTTAAAGGTCCACTGGCATTTCATTACAAATAATGAAAGTGCTTGAAAATCAAACCTCAATATGACCTATCAATGATTACCTCCCTTGCAAACAAATTCTCAGGTCAAATAAACCATTTACACAGAGCAGAATTAAGCAAACTTTGTAACATCTATGAAGCTTTGCAAGTTTCATGAAATCAACAAGTGGAAACAGTCCCTACTGGGTAAACATTTCTCTTCTATGTTTTCTTTCATATACTGCTGGTTATATTAACCATTTTCAGTTAATTTTGCTATTTTTCATGTTCTTAGTATGTCAAACCAGAACATGCCAAGCACCAGGAAGAGTTGTTGTTATCAGACAATGTGCACATCAAGGACCACTAAAAACAAACATGGATCTATGGTTAAGAAGGAAACACTTTCGAAAACACCACTGAACCAACCATAACTATTGTTAAACCAGTCTATCACTTTGCACACCTGTGTGACTAAACAGCAAAATAGAATGTCCAACCCCTAAATACACCATATACGACATACGATACAACCATAGGACAAAAGGCTGGTCTCTAAAGATTTTGACTCTTAAACAAATAAAAATCGCTTTTACACCTGAACCGTTTTGAAAATAAGGGTTTCTCATCTATTCAGAAAAAGCACTCATTCTTAACATAAAAACAACTGTATGTACTTCCGAAGCTCTGACAATCCTACTGAATTGCCTTTGCAGTGACCATAACATTTCCCAGTCTTGAGCTGGGATTGGAACCACAGAGCTTCTGATACGACACCAGATGAGTTCACTAAAGAGGTCACAAGTTGCAAGGTAAGGATGTCATCTAGCGTTACATCCTAACACCTCAGAAACACATATCAAAACCATATATATGTTGTTAATGATTACACGATTTTGATTCAACACCTTGGACGCCTTAATTTATGGAGTTGACATCAACAGCCCCATCTCAGCGATATTTTCAGTGTTCACCTACTGGGGTACTATGCTGACAAATTCTATCTAAGATAAAGTATTTAATCCTTTCAGGTTTCGCTGTTTATGCAAAGTAAATCTATTAGTATTGTTTGTATGTATGAATTACACATTTCATTTGTCATCTTTATCTTGATTTCGAGGCTGTATGTTAATATCAAACGTTGTCAACAAAGTTAGGTGACATTAAAAGCTGTGTACACCTTTTTCATACTGCAAAATGACATTGCCTCCCAGTAAGCGTCCGTAAATCCATGATCGACAAAAAGTATGAAATGAATGATAAAAACATGAAGAATAGTGGCTATTTTCAAATGAAAAACATACAGAAAGTACCAAGTGATAAAGAAGATGCAATAAAGGAAACGGGGTGTTCTTTGTACTTCTTCCATTATAAAAACATCAATCACTTATGACATCTTACTATTACGTTTTAGATCAACACTTCCCTAACTTCATTTTTCTGTGATTTAGAAAGTCGCATTCGTTCGTCATTCCCACGTGATTGATCCTTCTTATGAACACAAATGGCATTTCAGATCTATGTCACAACCAATTACACTGTGTGCCGTTTAGCTAGTTATAATTACACATGCTGAACTCGACCCTGTCCGAACCACGCGCCGTTTGAATTGTCCGCCACACCGCTTTGTTTACACTTCAAGACGCTTCTTCATACATCATCACACCGACTCTGTTGATATCGCGTAGTCACATGGTCGTCATAAATACACAAGGTATGGCAGTCTGGAATGTTCGCTTGACCACAACATGGTTGGGATATATCATACAAAGCAGATACTTGTAAACGTGACAACTTACAGCGTTTCGCCCGTTTTGGCCACTTCGCTTAGAAACTGCTCCAATAACGGGGGTATAGTTTTCGTTGGTTTCTTCTCAAAATCTGAAATAAGGATGGACATAATTATAAAAACGTGTCGAGAAAACATTACAGCTTCGTTTGGTATATATAAAGAATCTACAAACCATTCAGGGCGTCAAATACTTCCTCCCGATTGTCCATGGTGACCTCCTCTCCGGCTACTCGCACCATGAAGGTCAAGAAATGGCGGCGAGGAAGTGACGTAAGGGCAAAATGTCGGTCAATAGACTGAACCAATAAGAGGGGTGTTCAGTCTGGTTCATTGACCTGCACGTCGCAGTTCGACGAAGTCCTCACTCTGTGTTTTGTAGTCGCTTTGCGCATGAAGATTCTCCCGCAAAATAGTTGTACGGAAATGAATTGAAGAAAGCAATGTATGCGACATGGATAAATGGTGTTTTTCCTGTAACATAGGGTAAACAGTTTCTTCCCTACACGACCATTCAAAGCATGTTCGCACATTTGCTGTCACCATTCAGGTGACTGAAGACACGTATATGCGTTTAAATAATCACCATGTTGCTGTTGTTATAAAACTAGTTATCTTTAAGATTTCGTAGTTTCTTTTATCAGGAATATGCAAACAGTTCAACAGATATCAGTCGATTGCATCTCGGGTCGTTTAATATAGAATGGATACTTTACGGGTCATTCGGAATCCGGGCTAAAACGGGATCCGAGTTCACAATGATTGACCCAAGTGTCGAGAACACAAATAAGTGTTAATATTGTATAGTTTATAGTTTTGGATGGTGTCACTTTACACAACTCCACTGACCTATAGACTCCACCCATGGGCTTTGTGTGCACCCGTGTGGGGAATCGAACCTTGGCCTGTGGCGAACGAGCGAACGCTTTCACCACAAGGCTAACCTACTGTTCACGACATTCAATCGCAGATACGTAACTATGTATCTAAGCATTCCCAATTAAACAATCTTATGTTAATTTCTATTTTGAACAACCACTACTCGGGATTGCATGTTTACATTTTCTCGTGAAAATATCAACGTGTAGATCTTTGATCACCCACCCATCTTCTCTAATTTGTAAAGAAAATAACCGTTTGTTTATTGCTTAACGCCGCACTGGGCCAGACAATCCAGTGATTGACACCTCGAGCATCGATCTACCCATGACATGCATGAACCAAATCATCGAGCTGACCACCCGATCCTGTTAGTCGCCTCTAACGACAAGCATGGGTGCGGAAGAATATTTCTAACCCGAACCTTCACGGGTAAAAACAAGAATTTCTTTGGTCGCTATATGTCCTTTGACAAGGTAACAGTAAAGTATGAAAGTACGTAGACATACCTTATCGGCTGAACAGTATCTCTACTCATTTAACATATTTCACATAAGGATATATTTATGTCAACTTCAGTAGTACACATTTGCAATACCACAGTGACTGTTACGGATATTACATAAAGGGAGGCTACTCGTCCAGCCTTACTAGCAAAACATGGGCGCAAATAAACCATACTTTGGGGCCAAGCCACCTACATCAATAAGGATTTTACTAACGCTTCGCAGCGCTTTCACTGAGACAAACCTGCTTTCTGTACTGAGAGCCATTACAATGATTTTACAGACATTACGTTGAATTATCTCAAACAACCGACCACAAGACAATATTCTGTACCAAAATCGATGGAGCCATTACAATGATTTTGTACAGATGGAGCATTACAATTACGACAGTGATGAATTATCTCAAACAACCGACCACAAGACAATATATGTTCAAACATTAACTGAACTTCGAAAATTTTGTTTAATTACAACGCTTTCACTGAGACAAACCCGTTCGGGTATTCTGTACCAAAATCGATGGAGCCATTACAATGATTTTACAGGCATTACGACAGTGATGAATTATCTCAAACAACCGACCACAAGACAATATATGTTCAAACATTAACTGAACTTCGAAAACTTTGTTTAATTACAACGCATTGATTATAAGAACTAATTTTAGAAACTTATGTTTCATTTAAACACGAATGACGTGATAGATGCACGCTGTTTTCTCGTCAAAATGTTCCACGTTTTTTAACAAACTGTCGATTACTTCTCGTGTATCCTGTAAAATGGTATGCATTATATAGAGCTTGCGCATTGATTATAAGAACTAATTTTAGAAACTTATGTTTCATTTAAACACGAATAACGTGATAGATGCATGATGTACTTCGCATTGATTATAAGAACGTAACAAACTGATAGATGCACGATTACTGTTCCACGTTTTTAACAAACTGTCGATTACTTCCTGTATCCTGTAAAATGGTATGCATTATATAGAGCTTGCGTATAGATGACGATTGAAAAATGATGTACTGTACTCCGTTATACTTCGTGCAACAGGTCAGAATGATTCCTTGACACAACAACACCAATTCTAAATCCGTTTACCTACCTGTGTGAAAACCCACTTTTCTCGGGGTGTTCTTGGTAATTCAATTACTTAAAGAAGAACGCTGCGCAATTGTTTTACTTTGATGTTTAAGGTAACTGCAAACAAAAGAGGTTGTCACTGAAACCGTAAGAATAATAATATACACCCAGTTAAGACCAAATCATGAAATGTCTGTTGTGGAAACAAACTTTTAAAATATGCAGAATTTTACAAGACAAGATACTTTTGTCATAATAATTATTTGTATACATATTATCTATCAATTGTTTCACTGGTATGCATCATAGAATTTGATATGATATGATAGTCTTGAAACAAACTTACTGTGCACTACACTAACGCATAGCCTATTAAAACATATTTTACAGAGTGAGTGAGTGAGTTTAGTTTTACGCCGCACTCAGCAATATTCCAGCTATATGGCGGCGGTCTGTAAATAATCGAGTCTGGACCAGACAATATCCAGTGATCAACAACATGAGCATCGATCTGCGCAATTGGGGACCGATGACAAGTGTCAACCAAGTCAGCGAGCCTGACCATCCGATCCCGTTAGTCGCCTCTTACGACAAGCATAGTCGCCTTTTGTTGCAAGCATGGGTTGCTGAAGACCTATTCTACCCCGGATCTTCTGGAGGTCCCACATGTTACAGAAAAAGTGCTTGAATTGACATGACAAAATATATCGAAATGGAGCTAAGGGGATTTCTTCATTTTCAGAGAAACTGCAGAACATATCTAGACTTGCCAAATGTAACAGATTCTCATGGGTCCAGACTTGCCAAATGTAACAGATTCTCATGGGTCCAGACTTGCCAAATATTATAGACTCTCTTGGTTCTAGACTTTAAAAATATTACTGACTCTTGTGGGCCTGGTTTTGCCAAATATTTGAGACCTTCCTGGGCCTGGACTTGCCAAATCTTATAGACTCTCTTGTCGACTATAGAATGTCATGGTCCTGTACTACAGACGACTATAGCTCTGCTAAATAAACTAAACCTAAATTACCAGACTGCAATCCATATTAAAATAATTGTTCCACGACAAAGTAATGGACCGTGCGAGCTCTGTCATTACGATTTTAATGTTTACAAGGCACGCAAATCAAACGAATTATCACACCCTTGAAAGTAGTGGAGCCTACAGATTGTTTGACGATAGCAACTTGATCGCACAGATTTATTGCTGTGTAATCGTACCGGGCGTGTTGGAGCAGAACAATTACATGATGTACTCGGCAAATATATCGGATCATATATCGTGTATGTTCCAACCTTACACTAATTACTTACGTTAATTGCAATTTACCGTAAATCACCATTACAAGACTTCGCATCAAAGATGTGTGTATTCACCGCCTGTCATTCAAGATATGTAATTTACTGCAAGTGGTTGGGTGGAGTTTTTATGTGTGTGGCTTAGAATGAACAAGGAAATTAGAGAGAAAGGAAATTATGTGTTATTTGAAGGGTTTATATGTGATTGTTTGAAGAGCCGTCTCTAAATAGGGAAAATTGTTAAAAATTGTTTAATTTTCAAAAATTAATTGGTAAAATGTTTAATATTTACCCACTTTGATGTTACTGAGAAATACTAGGTGTGTCATGAGCAATCTGCATTAAATATGTTGTGAAATTCGTAATGAGACTTTTGTGAGTGAATAATTCAATCTGAAAGAACTAACTGATTAGAATTCAATAATGACTAAAGCAGGAAGGAATATCTGCCTGAAAATATTAAAGTATTCGTTTGTTCATTGTTTTACGCCGTTCTGAGAAATTATTCGGTAATACGACGGCGGTAATAATCAAGCCTGCACAAACCAATCAAGTGTTTGACATCATGAGCATTGCTCTGTGCATGTGTCGACCAAAGACGGAGGTCTTACATGAACAAGTCCGCAGTCTAGACTACCAGTTGTCCGACTCCCTTTTTGTGGAAGCCTCGGTGGCTGAGCGGTCTAGGCGTCTGACTTTGTGTGCTGGCGATTAGGTGCCTGACTCTGAGGGTGTGGGTTCGAACCCCAAAAAAGTACTAGAATATGTAATTTACTAAGAAAGTGTAATCCCCGCCAAATATAACATATGGTACATTTGGACGCCGCTTTCTAAATGGCATTGTGAAATTTCATAACAAGTCAACCTGGTCTTCGACTGACGACCAACGCTTTGCGTTGCTGATGAAGTGATGATTATAGTGAATATTAAAGTGATACTCAGTCGATAAAATATTGAAAAATTATAGTTTCCTACTTTTCTCTTTGTCAGCAGAAAGTTACAGTACCATTCTGACTATTAATAACGTTATTATTTTTTTATTACGGTATTTTGCTTCAGTGCGCTTGTTTGTGATCACAGTGATTTTCGGGATATCTACAAGGCTGCTAAAGAATTTCTCGGTTTGTTTATACTCACACGCGATTTGTGGGCTCAGATGTAAGGTTTTGTTTGATAGACGCTTCACGTTTGTTTGTCAATACACACCGCAGACCTCCAGTGACCCCTACACGGCGAGTAATAATGGACTCTTCCGAGCAGGTTGCAATCTATTTTTAGCCTGCGAATTTGTAAATATGGCGCGGGAGCACTATGCGCTTGTGGACCGCAGTTTCTAAGTTTGTTATAATTATTTGGAGTTACCCGCGACATTATTTTAAGCTGCGGTTCGCTTAAACAATTACAAAGGTAGGTGTCTTGTTATTTTCCCACTGCTTGTCAATGTCATCCATCAAGTTTTTTACTTTCTTTCTGACGGGGCAGGTGCCCTCCCACCGAATCTGTCGAATCAATCAAGGTATGCTGAAGGTGTCATCTCACCTTCGCGGCTTTAGACAGGATTATTGTTTATCCGTAATTGTCAACGGGTCTATTTCCTAAGTAGCATCGAACACTCGCAAATGTCAGTAAATATCTGGGAGATGTACAACAGGCGTTTTCAAAATAATTCACCTGAGTAATATGATGTGGTATTTTCTTGACAACTGCCAGTTTGCTCTTTGTATTGGTTTCATTTTCTGTTGACAATATGTTACAGCCACTGTCGGAAAATATTGATGAGGCATTGGTGATATTTTGTAGTGTATGTATGTCCTCAGGAGCTCAATAAATATTATTGTTGTGACGTTTATAGGAAATAATAATGCCTTTTTTTGACAAATAGTGTCATTGTCTCGACAGACTGTTGTTCATCTTTTGTTGTCTGAAGCTGACAGGAATTTTAAAATATACAAAGAAGTGTTTGTATGTTTTTGCTCAGAAATTATTAATGTGTTTTACTTTCACCAGTTTAAAATTCCTCTTAGATATGTATGAAGTGCATGTTATGGTAAATCTTACAGTAAACTATGGTACACCGAACTCAAAGTGACCACTTAGTCCAGCATATAACTAGACGAATTTACACTATACCAAGGTGTGCTCGCCAACTGGATGTAGGCCTTGGCTGAAATACGAGTTTATTTATGTGAACTAAACTTACTGTAGTATTCAAATGTTAGGACTTCTGAACATCAACAGCTAGTTACTGTGTTTATATCTTATTTCATGATTAAAGTGGATTGCTCACTTAAAATAACTGATTTCGATACAAGGTTGTTTTTGGTAGTATAGTTTACAAGGGGAATGTTGAAGTGCCTTATAAGAAACAGTATAACCACGATAACGAGATATACCTGTGCAGGTGTGGCGCTGTCAGCACTCCTCATACCTGTATCAGTGAAGAGATAACATAATCCTTTGATATATACAACCTGTCAGGATTGTACTACTATGAATATTTATTTTTGTCAGTAGTGGGGGTTGTCTCAACATGATTATTGATGTTTTCTATACTGTACTCAGTAATGGATATTTTTATTGCTCCATCCATTTGAATCAATATACACAATTGCAGCATTATTTATTAGATGATACTTTGATTTTGGACTATAAAGTTTCATTCAGGCTAGGCAATAAACAGGTTATTTGGTGATGAAATGTGTCCCATTTTCTGAGTTCAGTTTGACACCTGTGTTTGTACAATAGCGTAACGTACCTTTAATCCTTCTTACGTTTGAATCATCATATTACAGACTGCAGTTCGTGACAGAAACTATATTTAGCTGTGATGTTTGGGAGACATTGCTGTTGCTGACTTTCACATCTTGTGCATTTTTTTTTCTTTTCACATTGTGCTCTTCAGTTTTGAAAAACTACATACTTCAAATTAAAATGATTCCTAGTTGACTGAAGCTGGACAAACCCGTCCGTCCGTCCATCCATCCATCCATCTTTGATTGTGCTGTCCTTTCTTCAGTCCTTATACAGGGGCGGTGGGGTAGCCTAGTGGTTAAAGCGTTCACTCGTCACGCTAAACACCTGGGTTCGATTCCCACATGGGTACAGTCCGTGAAGCCCATTTCTGGTGTCCCCTGCCATGATATTGCTGGAATATGCTAAAAGCGGCGTAAACCTAAACTCACTCATTCACTCATTCCTTATACTGAGAGGGGCGGTGGGGTAGACTAGTGGTAAAAGCGTTGGCTAGTCACGCCGAAGACCCTGGTTCGAATCCCCACATGGGTACAATGTGTGAAGCCCATTACTGGTGTCCCCGGCCGTGATGTTGCTGGAATATTGCTAAAAGCGGCGTAAAACCAAACTCAGTCAGTCAGCCTTATATTGAGGCATACACTCAGGGACATCAGCTCATCTTGATGTCCCGCGAGCACCTTCTCTGTAAGGAATGTTGTTTCAGGTTATATTTCAATGACACTGATAAACATCAAGTTTGAGGACAGCTGACATTGTCTGATGGTAAGAAATTATATGTGATAGACACAATGATTAGCCATCCAGAATGTCTAGCTTATTCATGGACTATAGTATGAACCTTAAAGGTATCCTGGGCTAGTAGATTTCAGAAACTTTTCTTACAGAATATTTCTGGCTACAAGATAAGTATTAACTTCAATGATTATGCAAAGTAAACATAACTCTGCCTGCCCACATTTGAAAGTATAATTACAGATGACACTGTCAAGTCTAACTCTGAGCTAAGATCCTTCAAGAAGATCTTAGTGGTAGAGACCAGATAATGTCCATGTGGTGTCATCAAGAAGGGCACCTGCTGACGTTAAACCCACTGATGTTAGACCTGCTGATGTTGGTCAGGGAGGTTGTCCATGGTGGGTAATGTGCTCGTTAACCAGTAGTGTGACAGGTGTAGCAGGAGCTGAGGAGAAAGATTGTTACATGTACAGGTTGTTGTCAGGTAGATAGTACCATTGTCGTAATGGAGTTACTGTTTGATGTTTGTGAAAGTCAAATGCTAGTGTAGGTATTTTGTAATGAGGGTTGAAATAAAGTGGTGCAGTGAATGTGAATTCATTTGTCTATATGTTTAGGGATTTAAAATGTAGAAAATAGCATTTACATGCACAATTAGTGTCACTCACAGTCAGACACTTAAGTTCTCCAATATATCACAATACCTATTGCAATATGGGTACCTGAATTCACAATATATTGCGATACAGTTTATTTGCCAATACACAGCCCTAGAATTAACAGACTCTTCCCCTGTCGGGCTGTGGAGGAAAAACATACCTTGTGTTGTACGTTTTTCCATAAACATCTTCGAGGAGTATAGCTGGGTTTTTCTGAATTTTATTAATAGGCAGACATGCTGTGATTTACCTGTGAGGGATTTTGAAGAAGTGTTAAATGCAACTCTCTCTGTAATTATCTAAATGCCTCATATACCTGGAGACTGGAGTGTGCTTTCTTTTCACCTGATGTCTCTGCACTGTCTGTAGTTTGTAAGAACACTCTGGTTTTGCACCAGTAATATTTGAAGTGCCTAGGTGAACATTCTCACCTGGCTTGTGTGCATTACTTTGATGTCCTCATTAAGGTAAGCTCAGGTGAAGTGACTGTTGTCAGGTGGCTCGTTATTCACAGCAAGGCGGGCATGTCAAATGTATGATGGATTACACTGCACATTGAATTTCTTAACAGTGTAAACTTCAGCACTTGAAGTGCTGACACATCAAAATCATGGACCGCCTCCTGCCTCCTGTCCAAGGCAATACTTGCCCAGTTTCTCGGTTTGTTGGAAATTTTGGACAAAATTATTTTTACCAATTTGCCTGACAATGGCAGTATGGAATCCAAGATAAATCTCTATTGACCCAACAGCACAGAAAGGAACTCACTTGGTCAAAATGTGTGTGATTGTGTTAGTATACAGAGAATATTGACATTATAATTAAATATTTCTCAAGATATTTTTGTGACTACATGCCCCTGAGATATAAGACGGCCTCCTTTCCTTATAGCAAATCTAGAATCTGTGCATGCATGAAATCCCTGTCTATTCACTAGCTACTGTCTACAAAGGTATCGAGCTGTGAGAAATCAAAAGCTCGAAATAAAGAAGCTATTAAAACATGTTTACATGTTCCATAGCCTCTGAAATTGGGTAATTAAATAACTTAGGTAGTGTAATTTCCAGAAAGCAGCCAGTCGACATTACACAAGCTATATCGCTCGTACACTAGTAATGACTCACGGTGGACTGGCAGATCAATAACTACATCATGCTGTATTGATTCCATGGCAACTGTGTATCGATGAATAACCTTCACCATTGTTACAGTCACATGGATGGACTCGTGTAGAACTGAGCTACAAGATTTATACCTGTGATTGATAACGTCAAGATCAATGATAATCAGTTTACATGTATTTATGTCTACAATGCTGGTGACTGGTCAGTAGGTGTCATGTGACTGGTCGTGACTTCGGAAATGTTCAGTGTGTAAAGAGGTTATTGGGTGTTATCTTTGAAATTTTGGGTCTTGCGGTTGTGATTTGAGAAGAATAAATATAGTCAGGGATTGGTCTTGAGCTACTAAGGGGTGATCTGGGTGGATCTGGGTTAGAATCGGTAACTAATGGGATCGGGTGGTCAGGCTCGCTGACTTGGTTGATACGTCATCGTATTTGAATTGTGTATATCGATGCTCATGATGTCAGTCACAGGTACAGATTGGATTATTCATAAACCATATAGCTGGAGTGAGTGAGTGAGTGAGTTTTGTTTTACTCCACTTATAACAATTATATCGATTATAGCAATCAAAATATTTTTTGTCTAGCCTTCCAAGTTAAAATGATTGTCAGTTAACAAAATGTAAGTATATGTTCTATCATCATCATGATCTCATAAATGTGGAGGGGCGGTGGGGTAGCCTAGTGGTTAAAGTGTTGGCTCGTCACGCCGAAGACCCGGGTTCGAATCCCCACATGGGTACAATGTGTGAAGCCCATTTCTGGTGTCCCCTGCCGTGATGTTGCTGGAATATTGCTAAAAGCGGCGTAAAACCATACTCAGTCAGTCAGTCAGTCATAAATGTGGAAAATTGTTGGGGCAAAAATATTTTTAAAGCAGATTGGAAGTAAAAACACTCCCAGGCTGGGTTTGGGACTGAATTCTTGGGGAGACTAGCAATGAATGAACTTTTGTGACATTTAGGGTGGGTAAACACGTACTTTGTTTTTCCCTTTTTAGGATGATTCAGGTTAGAGAATCTTTTCACACCTATTGAAGGTGGAACTGCTCTGCAAGGCTATTTGAATATTGGATTTAGTTGGGTATATGCTGGTTTGATTTGGGTGTTTATATCCTGTATACAAACGAGATA